ATTCAGACAAAATCATTTTAATTATTTACATCCTCTTTTACCCCTTTACAACCTCTTTCCAAAACTTTCCACGCTCGAGGGAACATTGTGACCACACATTAGTACTATAAAATTCGTTGTTAAATTTTAAAATTAATTCTGTATATTAAGCTCAATAATGAAGGGGAGAGTCGGGGAGTGATGGAACAGATGTAACGAGTGACTTATGGAGGGGACGGGGCTCATAACTACCGTCCAGCGGCGCATAAGTCCCGCCACCGCACTGGGAAGCTGCACCCCGGTTTACATCATTCACGGCGATGTTGTATTTAACGTGGATATCTCGATAGTACTTGTAAATTATTACGTCACGTTATCTTAGCATGATTTTCTTGTTAATGACTTGCTCGAGACATAAGTTCTGGCTATATTTCGGTTACAATGTGATGGAACACATTCAAATAACCAATTTGATGAAGCGTTATCGCATAAAAAAGTTTACAATTTCATTAAATCCTCCCTAAATAGTTATAAAGAACTTCGTTATTTGGCTGTCAGTCAGCTTTTAAAAGCCCGACAACAAAGTTAAAACGAAGTAATTAAAAAAGAAAACACAAAATACTTACAAAGTCGGAAGCTCGGCTCTCTTCACTTAAATTACTTGCGATTACACCGACAAAACGTTTTAATGAAACACGTTAAATCGCGCCAAGTGGGCCCGCCGGCGCGCGCCACGCCAAGCCGCCCATACCCTCCACGTCTGCCATAGTTCGGCAACTTCACCACTTACTGTGGTAGGTGGCGGGTAGTTTTTCCTCAAATATCTTAGCCGTAAGTAGAGTTGAAACTACTTCTGCAAAGTCCATTAAAGAGTATAAACTCACGCCGCGGTGATTACAAATGCCGCCGATTTCGGCGACCGTTTCGGGGTCGATTAAAGCTTTTTAATTGAAATCACCTGTGATAAACTTTGAGCAAACGAATGGTGCTCATGTTAAGCAAATACAATCGTATCTCTGTGAATCAAATTACCTACCGAGCATAGGTTTTAACGTGGCCATTTCACTTATTTCAGTAACTAGGTAAATTATTTTTGGATATCATACATTTTGATATCGGTAAAAGGTGACCCTTTGATCACTCATTCATTCTTTTGTCTTTGACTATCATGTTCATGAAAATGTCGGATTACGAATTTGAATGACATTTTTATTTTCGTATTTATATTCGGTAAACCCGTGATTGAAATAAAGATAAAATTTTTGGTAAAAATAAGTTCAACGAACTGCGAGAGTATAAGCTTGTTTCAAAAAGCGCATCCTTTAGAATTAAAAGCGTGTATGTATTATTTGATGGCGCAGCGTCGGAGAGCCAGTGCAGTCGCTCCATATAAATATGTAAGCGGAGGAAACGCTGACGTCTGCGTTCCGCCGCGTCGTTGCGGAAACCGCGTCAATTAAGTTGGCCGCGATGACATATTAGCCTTTGTTCCCCTGCATCCCCTCTCCCACTACGACCGGTATTTACTCGCAAGAAACTTGCAGTATGTACTGCCAGATAATAGATAGGTAATGTTGCTCGCGGCTGTGCGTGATTTCCTATGCACTTGGTTCTACGTTCCAGTTTATATTCTATTCATCTGCATCCGAGGTTAATATGTGATTGCGCTTTGTATTATGCTCTATATTATGGACTTGTATTTATGACTACACTGGTTGTGCTACGTGAATTATACGGACAGTTTAATAAAACATTTTAGGTTATCTAATGAATTTGAAAATTTGTGGCCGAATGGATGAAGAAAGATAACAGATTTTAACAGAACATTACAAAAATGAAATGAAAACTCATTCTACATCAAATCTAAGAATAATTCAGGCAGGTATAAAAGTGAGCAATGAAAAAATATATAATATTTTAATATCAGCCGCAGTCATCTGCCAGATGCTTACTGGACAATTAAATGCGGCTGAATCAATTCTAAATTAAATAGATCCACTGTGAAAATACAAAGTTTAGTGACTGTCAATGTCAAACAAAGAAGATGAAAAAAGTTTTTTCTTCCAATTCCATTTTGCTTTCAACATTCCTCTTTTGCAGTCTCTAAAACTTTTCAAAATAAGAGGTTTTCCAGAGAGTCTCAATTATCGATAAAGACGATATTAAAAATTCGTTTGTTTTGTTCTTAGCTTGCGCCTTGGTAGCGGTGTCCCCTTTTTTCCATTGTTTGCGTAAGAAGAGAAAGCAGAAACGACGGCAAACGATAATCACAAATTTGAATTTCGCCCCCACGAGCCACTGACAAAATCATCCGATTTTGCGCGTCGTTTATCATATCTATTAATTAAGTGAACAAAAAATATTTTGTTGGTTTTAGCGAAAAATTGTGAATGTCAGCAAACAGTTTGTTTCCTCAAAGTTTCCTATTTTGTTTTATCTCGGCCCGCTACATCGTGCGGCCAAGGTATGCGATCGATATGCGACTTATAAGCGGAATCTATATTCATAATTCAAATATCTACATAGTGGCCGTTCGGTGGCATGATGAAGGAACATGGTCTAAATTTATTCGTGAGCATTACAGTGTAACATGTACGAGGCAGTGCTCCCTTAATGTATTCATGTAATTCGCATAGCCGGCATCCCCTTTGACCGGCCACGCAACACCGCACTGGCTGCCCGGATAGAGTAATATAACGTGATGTTTTAAAACCATCCATCACGTTTAATGCCCATATAAAAAGAATGAGATAGCGTGCGGACTCTATCCGCGGATTTTTGAATTTGCACATGGTACAATTTTTTCATTCAGTACGGTATGTTTGCCTAAAATAAGCTAGACGTGCCGCACTCACTTATCTTTAGCATCTCGAAAGGAAATTCACTTGTTGCAAGACGCCCCGACAACCTCAAGTTTTATAAATGTTAATACAAAACAACACCGTCGACTTTCTCATTTTCACCTCACGAAACTCTCTCGCGTCCGTTTATTGCGGGTGGAAATTATCAATTGACTACACTCTAGTATTCAGCAGTGCAAATACGAAAGCAAGAGCTTACCGTCTATTCTGTGCGAGGTCAAATAAAACCTCAAGTATCAGGCTACTTGAATGTAAAAACGTTGGGATGCGGCCGGCCGGGCGGCGAGCCTGACGCCAATTTACATTAAATGCGGCTTGCACCTACCAATGATAACTTATACTTGCTGGAGCTGCGAAACTAGTGTTTACTATTGTGAGCTTAATATTTTGTGTTAAGTGAAAACTTGTAAAATTATGCGCAGAACAAAAACTCGTAGCTCAGCGAAAAATCTCGGTTCTTGTAGTTTCAGCGGAATGATACAAAGTGCTAAGAAGTAAATTAAATGTCGAGTTATAGTGAACGGAAAATGTTAGTCTGTTGAGGAGTAAGTAAATGAAATTCGTAATTTAAATACAGGAGCGTTTCATATCTTTTATGACCACTATAAACATTTAATAATAATAATTATTCACCAAGTTCATATTTTTATCACGAGTACATAAATTAAAATATATTATTGAATGTTTTGTTATCAGTTAATTATACTGTGATTGGTATCCCTTGCTTTTACTAGAACTCATAATATACGTATATTTTTATCTCATAGGTAATAAATAAAAACTAGTATCCTCTGTTTCATGGAACAGAAACAAATTAATTTAAGTAAAATACATATATATTTTCTCCTGTCAATGAATACTACCATATCGATATTTGGCCCACTATAATAATAAATGATAACTGTTAGAAATCATTTCATCAAAAAGATTGAATGATTTTATTGTTCACACACTACACTCAAGCTGTACAAAGCCTCTCAAATAATTGTCAAAACATAATAATGGAATATTCGTTATTATGATATTCGCAAATGAATCCGTATTTTTTAATTCAAACCATTCAATCAAATTCCATTTTTGATTTTCATTTGAATTGTAACGTTTACATTTGAATTCGGAATAATTTTAAAACTATATTCCATATTTTCCGTTAAAAATAAAGCTAACAGAAAAAATAGAACGTCTATTCTAATTTCAAATTCTAAGCTTACCCCTTGCATAAATACTTGTAAATGAAACTTTTTTTAAAATCATAGCTCAGACATGTGTAATACAAGTAGTATACAGCATGGGGTCTTTGATGAACATCTCGTTACAATGAGCACCCCTCCGTACCTTCACGCGAGTTCTTTGCCTCCTCCACTTCTTTTTCCATGCGAGCTACTTCTCAATTCTATTGTTTTTATTACCCTAGTAAATAAGTGCCGAACCCCTCTGCAGACGAAGCCATTATAGTATCGTTGCTGAATTCAAAAATATCTACATTATGCAGGATTTCGAAAGAAACCTTTGAGTTTTTACAACTGCGAGGAGATAAAAATTATATTATTTAAATGATGCTGTAGATTAGGTTAGGTTTAGTAAAAGGGGTGTTTCTGTTTGATTGTGGACTTGATTTTGTAGTAATACAGGGTATAACGATCGGTCGACAGTTGTGTTTAAGAGTAATTCCTAGAAAACGGACAAAAATATTACTTAATGTACTTTGAGAAACACCTTTTGTATTTATACAGTGGTGGTTATAACCCATCCATAATACTATTTGTACAGAATATTAAATAAACGTACTCACAGAGACGGGGCAAGAAGGAAATGGACTAAATAGACTGTTATGCGATTCAATCACAGGACCATCTAGGTTACGGACGGCCCCGAGATCACAGGCCGCATACTAAATTATTAGCCCTCAGTTATTTATGCACCGTGAACCAACATCTTAATAGCGAGCCAGAGTTATGTCCAGCCTAAAATAATATTTTGTATAAATGCTCGAAAATAAACAAGCCGCGTTCGACTTGCTTTACAATCACAATATGTCGTAACTTTGCAACGCTACTTCGCCGTTTTGCGGTAATATAATGTCGGAATGAGTTTATTATAAAGGTTTAATTTTCAATTTACGTCTAACCACAACGTGATGAAATGTTATCAAAAGCTTACCTTTGGGTGTGCTCTCCTGGGGAACGCCACTTTGGGGTCAATCTGAAATTGAAAACACAATATTTTAATACAATTTGAATCAAGGAGATATATTTAATGCGGGCGGGTGTTCTAATTTTGAGAGAGGAGCCCGTTTGGTTCGGTGACTTTGCAAATGTAAAAAAATCAGTGAGACGCGTCGAGCCCAACTAATCATGGACCGCACGTCCGTCTGGGAAGCGGGCACGATAAATTCGCATCGCCTCTGCGGCTGCAATGTCCAGTCCTAAAATCCCGGCTGCAAAAAACCATCGGACTGAAAATCCTGCGCCGTGGTCCTGTCACTCGATTTCGCCTCTCGTCTTTTTCATGTAACCGAGCTCTACTTTTTCATACGTGGCACTGTTTAAGCCCTCAGATTTTCTCCCGGCAGCGAGCGGTCGGTCCAGGTCTTTTTGCTCGTATCTCGACGCGCCGTTGACCGCTATAAACGCAAAATATAAACCCAAAGAAGCTACCTTTGACATTTTAGAGGTAAAACGTTTCATTTCCACTCGTGCTAACCGTTTTGTCGAACGTTTTCCACATTCAGCAGAAATGCTCCAGCATTTTTTAGTGCAAGTCTTACTTTTAAAAATTACGAATGTTGAAAAAATGTGGTGTATGGGTGCATACACAGATAGTAATACAGAGTATTAAGACTCTGAACCTGAATGTAAGATAGTCTTACAATTAAAACTTGCATTCATGAGAGTCTGTTATTACTTTGTTGAATACCATGTTGGATTAAGTTGACTATAATCTAATTCTATTCATCAAAGTTTTAAATATTATGTACATTTTTAAGGCGTAGAGCGCACAATAGAAGCCAGTAGGCATCCACGTCCGCCTAATTACGAAGCAAAAGCGTGAGAGAATAATTTAAAAGATTTCGCCCAAGAGGACTGCATTATTACAATATCAGGGAAACCGCTTTACAGCGTCATTCATACATTCTTAATTATTTAATTATCTTCTGAGTGCGGCGGCACATGACGGCTGCAGAAAATCCGAAGTAATTTGATTAAATTGGATTTAAACAAAGACATTTTTTATTTTTTATGAAAATGTAAATTGTAATAATTGTAACGAACGTCGCGGCTTACGTGCGGTTGACACAAAAATTATGTCTGCCTTCAAAATAGGAGATGTAGAACGTTGTTGGAAAGCTTTTAACCGGCTCACGCAAGCAATTTTGTAAACGTTGTAAAATGACCACGAAAGTATACAGAGCGAGCAGAAAAATCATAAAATCCCAGATGGTGGCGCTAAAGCGATTAAGCGGGTCGATGATAAATTTTAACGAGTTATTTTAATGGAGGCGATCGCAGTCAGTGGCTAGCCGGCAGCCTGCGTCGATAGAAAAATAAAACCAAACTCACCAAAAAGACTGTTTAATACGTGACCCCGTGATTTTTTTATTGTTTCGTAAACGTTTAACGATAATTGCTTTTTGAAACGACGCCTTTTGTACATCCAAAATGTCATTCCATTTGTAATTGAATACATAAAATGTGGTACCGTCCTTATCTACAAGCCCATGACTACTTTTGTAACAAAAGTGAATCAATAACAAAAAGAAAAATGTGAGTATAAGGACGAAAGATAAAATGAGGGATAAGGAAATTTTTTGATCAGTTTTACTGTTTTGTATTTAAAAGTACATAAGTTAAGTAAAAACGCGGGTTACTCACGTGAATATACTGAGAAAAGCTCTACTAGTTTCGAACCACAGAGGGGTTCTTCCTCATGAGCAGTGTGCGCGGTCGCGGCGACGTCGCGCAGCTCACACGAGTGAGTATATATCAGTATATACCAGTCAGTATATTCACGTGAGTAACCCGCGTTTTTACTTGATTTAGTATGTCTCACGATAGTTATTATAAAAACAGTACATAAGTTAATGTTCTCTTATAAAATTAAAAAAAATGATAGCATTAACCAAATATTTATGTGCTGATTAAATAATTTTAGCCATTTATGTCTTTTGAGTTAAGTAGAAATAACCAGAGTGATGAAAGGTTTTTAACCATTTGATATCATTTTACAAAGTGAGTAGTTACAGTCCTACGTCGTAGCGCCTAATCACCGTAGGCCCGTAGCGGCGTAGCGGTGCTACGCCTTAAGCCATGCCCATTACTATTATGTTAGTGTTTCAAAGAACAATACTAGTAATTTACAAAGTTCAATACTCCTGCGCAAAATGACAGGAAAATATCGATACAAATGTGACATTTTGATATGGAGCCATTTGCGTGATTACAATCGACGCAACGGCGCACCCTCTAGCCGACTTCGACCTCCCCCTTCCTACAACTTCCCTTACGATAAAGATTGACATCACCTACCTTAACTTTCGAATTATCCTAACTCAAATATACCAAATAAAGTAAATTCTACTCTAATCTATAACGCATAGAATACAAATTCATTTAAAGCACAAGAAAATTTTAGCGTGTCATCGCAAGAAAAGATTGTAGGCGAAAGCACATTAGTGGGATATCACTACTGGTAGCGAAAGAGCATGTTCACTTTATGTACTCGCGACGATCGCATCGACGTAAAGTCGATTACGTTAAATTTTATATTAAGCAAACAGTTTTATCGATGTGTTGTGTATTTTCAAGTCATTGCGGTAACGTGCCGCAATGAAAGTTCATTGTATCAGTTAACTTAACCTATGACACGGGTACACCTGCTGTTTGATTGGAAAATATCAGTTTTGGATAAATAACATTTCGAAAGTTAAGTTAAACTGTTTTCAATTCCCTCCATACGTATAAATAAGCACGTGTTTAAGTTTGTATTTTCAAGCTAAGCAAACGCTGTGAGTATCGTGTACTGAGGTGAAGTTAATAAGCGAACATTCTAGGAACGCAATTCGATCAACATGTTGTTAAATCCTGATAATTAACAAACGTCACACGTCGGGCTTGAGTTACGGACAAGAAAGTTTAATGACGTGCACTCACTGCAGGCGGTAACTGAATTTATTTACGTGCAGACGACACGTAAGTGTCGCCCCGGGCGACGTTAAGTGGGGACCGCATCATTTGCTGTTCAGTCAGCAACGCGCACTCTAACTCCTCCTAATTGGAACGAATTTGGCTGCAGGTGCAACACTCGACTTGGCTCAAGATTAGGGGCGAGCTATTGCGAGTATATTCTGCGCCGTTTCCCCTTGAAATATTCGATGTGCAACGCGCGACTTGCGGCTCGCAGCGCCGTCGCCGCGCGCGCCGTCATCCACGTGCGCTCCCACTAACTTGAATTAAATTAAGAACAATATTTACCCTCGGAGCCGAGATAAATGATATTGCACACTTAAGCCAGAGTTAATGTGTAGTGACGACTTATGTGCCCACATTCTTAGCATAAGCTAGTGAAAATGCCATTGCAAGAACGAGACGCCCTTATACAAGTTGTGAACAATAGAAAGAGAGAGCTGAACTGAACACCTCAACAAGAAAGACCTAACGAGGCGCGTTTCAACGTAGACAAATAATAGCACGCCAACAATGTTACGTGGCGTTATTTTAATTGATACAGCTTTAACTCATTCTGCAGAGAAAAATGCAAACAAGTTGCGACGCGATCGGAAAACACTTGACACAGATTGTTTATAAAGTAGGGTTTGCTTTAACACTCTGTGAGACAAGCAGTAATGAAACCCGGCTAGGGCGGCTCGACAAACGTCATTACTGGGGCACGCATAAATATGCAAGGCAGGTAACGCACATTTTCATGCGACGTCGCAAGAATTTTATCGCTCGTTTAATTCTGTGAGAAAAAAAAATGGGATTCTTTTGGGTGTAACACGAGATAGGCGGCCGCGTGGGAACCGGCACGCTGCCCTTCTTGGCCACGCTTCACATCTAAGTGCAACCGAAATATATTTTATCCACTTTGTCAGATATTACTTTCTCCTAAGCATCGCGTCGAAAGCGTAAACGGCGGAAGAGGCGAGACGTAATCTTATCCATGAGAGCACCTTATTCGTTAGGCGTTAATGTGGCCGCTTTGTGTTGTTAGACGTACGCCTATTAACGTGTGTTTTATTCATCGCCCTTTTCCTCCAGTGTGTTACACGTTAGCTACAATTGCTAGGGACCTTAACGACATAGTTCTCTTTTCTTAATGCCCTTGTTAATTTCGTTTACATTTGTTTAAGTGTTAGCGTCGTTTATTTACTTCGCCCCAGACGGAGCTGTCACGCTTTTCTGCTTCATGTTGTAATCGTTTACTTGTGAATGATGAATTGTACCTCGTACTGAAGTAATAATTACATTTTATTCTTTTTCATAATATTTCTTCTGAAAGTGTTGTTTTATTGAGTTTACGGTCCAATACATTACGCTAATTATATTTTTCTTATATTCAGTCATAGGGTTGGATGATGTTCTTTCTTTATCATCACTTTATAACAGAAAAATATCTAATTATCATAACATCTATTAATCATAACAGAAAAATATCTGATCAGTACAAAGAAGATGTCACATCTGTCCTATAATCAATTACTTAAAAACATTTCTAACAAAGCACTCCTGTCCTTAAAAATTCAATAGTTCGTCAATTGACAGCTAAGGTACAAAGTTTAAGCTTATCTAGTGATTCAGGTCAGTACCAAAGCCGGGTGGGCATTAGCACAATGTGGTCGGTGGTCTCGTGAGACAAAGATTACGCACAGTTCGCTCCCCAACGTAGATAACAACGGCTGGCTGGATACTGGATGTGCTGTAGCTTTTGTCTCGCTTTGCTTACAATTTTGGCGAGTGAATTAAGGTGGGCTGGAGAGGTACGTGGTCGTACAGTATGTTTAGCCTTTGGAATTCTGTTTTTTTCTTTGAAAGTCTCTTCTGTGTCTAATAGAAGCTGATTTATTTTGAAAGACAATTCCGGAGATTTGTTTGATTTGTGAGAATTTTACAACGAAAATAGGATTTCAATCGTCATAGGTAAAATGGCTAAATATGAAATCCTATATCAATTTTTCATACCAGAGCTTTAACCAAATATTAGTT